GACATAAGCGAGAAACATCCATTTCGTATCCTGAAATGGATCAGGGACTTAGATGTGATGCGTTGTCTTAGCGTATCTCACAATGTCTGTCTTCACGCGGCGATATGTAACCCACGGTACTATACAACTTCCTGATTTCCGCAATAATGCCTAACCCAACGATCATGAGATGAGGAATTACGCCCGCGCAATGCATTGTACAGATTTGTGAATCGCTCCTAGTTTAACGACATAAATATATATAATTTAAACTGGTGTTGTCACTGCTATGCATCGCGAGGCCACTGATTCAACATTCAGACATAAACAATGATGTTCAGGCTAAGTGCCGTCGCAGAGAATTCTCGCATGTGTCTGCGAGTTAGGCGTTTCAAGACAGTCAGAGGGCCTACAGATAATTTCTGGAAATCAGAACTACATTGCTGCTAATGAGAGGTCATGTGTTGTTACATACTGTTACGGCGCTAGTTCATGAAGGGGGGGAATGGTACGTAGTTGGTACCACGAAGAGGACTGCCGTGTGGAGAAAAGAAAAGTCGTTCTGTTGATCGTTGGGTTAGGCATTATTGCGGAAATCAGGAAGTTGCATAGTGCCGTAGGTTACGTATCGCCACGTGAAGACAGGCATTGTGAGATACGCTAAGACAACGCATCGCATCTAAGTCACTGACCCATTTCAGGATACGAAATGGATGTTTCTCGCTTATGTCAAGCACTTCAGAGGGCTATGCGGTTGACTACGTTCGCTACTGCGCCTAAGTTGTGTCAATGTATGCGGTACATCATGACTCGTCTGGTAATTTCTAGTGATGCGACATTCAAGAGAATACGAATCACTCAAGCAACCAAAGCTGGCGTTATCGCGAGCGCCTACACATTAACCACCAAGACATAACACTTATCCCTCCAATGTAAGCACCTTATGACAAGTGCCGTGCCTCACCTTAGCTTTGGACTGGATGGTATGGTGCACAGGTCTTTCGCTGCATGTTTGACGACATCCAGTTCCGGATTTACCTGTCACTGTGACCTTTATATGCCAGCCACAGAACGGTTGCGCCTACAGCGGGAGCATGGGTGGCTTGCGCACAGATATATCCACACACCGCAGCGCAGTGTAAACCCGAAGCAATTAGACCGGGAAGATTGCGAGTTTGAGCCAGGTTTCATCAACGGAGCCGGCTCTCACTCCTTCACAGGCAAACACAAGCACGCTGTATTTGGGGAATCAAGCGCACACAAGACGGTGGCTGGACCGTAGTTCGCTCCAAACTGAGTGCATGGGACCACTCTTCGAGCCGAGCACAGCCACAGGGACCGCGCACCCCATCCTCCCCACAGCAGTGATTCACAGTCTTCTGGAGCCAGGATAGACGAGGTGGTTGTTAATCGACGGGTGGGCGTCTTCTCAACATGCACATCAAGTGCAGCTACCCCGGGGATGTCAAACAGCAGCCAAGCACTTGCAATGACAATATCAACTAATAGTTACCGTATAAACTATACAGATATACCGATTTACCTCTTCGCTAAAAGTGCATATGAAATAAGTTGGTTATCAACAATTCCACGATAATTTCATGATATCAGGAAAAGATGCTTTTGTTTTAAAAAATGCTACTAACGCGAAGTTAACGAATTTAATCACAATCTGCTTAAGCGACATGTAAAAGACGCTTATTCAGACAGATATCTAAATGATTTAACCAATTAAGCATTAACAAAATATCCCAAACTTATCACCTCAAATAAAGAAACTCAGCACGTAAGCATGTCGTTAATAAAACGGATGTATCGTACCTACCGACGCTGCGCCGACTCCACTATGTTTGCTTTACCGTGCCGGAGTATACATTTGCTTCGATATTACTGTATTATACGTGTTTTCCCGATGTGCATTGTGCTCCAATAGGTTTCTTTTGGTGTATTTTTCCATCTCTGCAAGGTAGGTGTATATTCTCTGGGTAATTTCGGAGATCCCACTGGCCCAACTGTCGTCTGTGTCCGCCACCTTGGATTTGTTCCACAACAATCTACAGTAATCTAACCTGTGTCAGCCAGACAACCAGCTTGACCGGCAGCGTTTGGATTTAGCCTACTAGTGTCGACATTGCAACGAACGACATCCGCAGAACTGACAGTCACAATGGCATGTACTGCTTGTCCACGGAAAGCGAAGCCGAAAGCTTCCGAAAGAAACGTTAGTTGTGTCACAGACAGCTGTGTTAAACTTGTTCAATTTGGGATAGATTGCAGCAATTGTCGAAAAGATTTTCATCCTCGATGTGCTCGCCTTACTTTCATCCAAATAAAAATACGTAACAGTACGACTGATTTCCTCTGGCTCTGCACGGATTGTACGTCTCTTCCACTAGTCAGACGTATAACTGTGTTGGCGCAGAAGTGCGATAGGCTGACAAAGGTTGTAGAGTAAGCAGCAGCCGTGAAAGCTGTCCCACAGGAACCAGACAAATCCGTGCCTCGAACCCGATGCTTAACAGGAAGGGCCAATCAAGGACAGTATAACCAGGCCGGAAATAACAGCACCGATACAGAGTCAGCCACTCCAACACTAGCGGCTGCTCATAAAGATATATTCACCACACATTTTTCACCAGAACCCCTCGCCACCTCGAATACCGTTAAAGAGCCGTCAACATACGCGTCCGTTGTTGTTACCCAGATGACAGCGACACCTCCCCTCTTAACCCCCCGGCTGCCAAACCAATTACTACTACAAACACCACGGGACTCAAGACCCCATCATTACTCCAACCGAAGAAAGCAGCCACTGGTCCCTCCAAAAAGGAGAACATGAAACACTACCATAATTCTCTAACTGTTATATGCTCTAATGTCACTGAATCCGGGGCGAACTCCATAAAAGATAAGACACTAGACGACAAAAACAGTGGGACTCCCTGTGTCAACTTATAGGGGTTCTAGCTAAATCAGTCAATATGATGCACCTCGTCCGTCAACCTAATTCCGTACACTTCGGTGAACCGCGGTTACTCCAGGTAACACTTCAGTCAGGTATTGATGCAGAGACAGTTCTGTCGTCAGCCACTCGGCTCCGTACCACCACATGCACTGTTCGAATTTTTCCAGATGTTCCCTGGAGCGAACACCAGAAACACAAACAAAATCGGAATGACTTCCGTAAACAACAATACGAAAAATATATTCTTGTTCGCGGTGTCCCCGAGCTTCAGACATTAAACGAGCTAGAAGCCAAAGCGCATGACTGAGATGAATGGCGTTTTATTCTTGAAGTGTTCTCACTCGAAAACGTTATCGCTAAGACGATATCAAGATTACCACCATCACCAAGCTACAAAGGGTGTGATACCCGAGTGATGAAAGTATGCTTGCACTCCGAACTGATGGCAGAACATGTGATCAAAATGCGGCATAAAAAGCGTAAAATGCTGCCATCCGAAATACTTATAAAGGCAATAGGCCCAAATAGACAATGTAACATTGAGTAAGCAACTTAACAATACAATTCTGTCACCGTGTAGCTCGGGACGGTGACAATAGCGAGGCACACAGACAGCTGAAAGAGGACAGGATAGTCACCATCTTGTTGACGCTGAGTGTTCCACCTGAACTGGCCCTAGGGTCCGCGTCATCGGTTCTTAAAAAAAACGACAGGCAGCCGACTCCGCAAGGGTCGGCATAGACCCTCACCAAAAATCAGAATCCACAAAGACGCTTCTAACCACCGATGCCCTTATCCTCTCGCATACCAACGCACAAGGTGCTCTCAGCAAGCTAACCGAGCTTCGGATTCGTCAGATCTCCACGCCTTGGGATCTAGTTATGATCAAGGAAACATGACTGCACACCGGGATCATTGATGCTGAGATATCTCTACCCGGCACGAATTCCATACGAAACGATCGACCTAGCAGGGCAGGGGAAGTGCTCCTGTATTATCGATCTGACATGCAAGTTGATATCATTGAAGATCCAGAAACGCAACTCGTCGACACTCTTTAGTGTTGTATGCACCTAAGACGGAGTGACGTGCGTTTACTAGCAATAGATTACCGCCCTCCAATATTCACCTTAGGAATAGATCAGTGCCCAGCGAGTCCTGACACGACCACACAGTCACGTCCTTCTAGTGGGGGACTTCAACCTCCACGCAATCGAAATCCCAGCATTGCACAGCGAACAATTCAAAGCTGACGTGTAAGAGGTGATTGCCGATGTACCTCTGTACAACCATGTTACCTCTCCCACTCGATTCCGAACGGGTGGCACACCCTCTGTTTTGGACCTTGTGCTGACCAACGTGGCACTAATGGTTGACACCGTGACCACAGATGCACCACTTGCCCGTAGCGATCACGCGATGTTGCTCTAACGTTACATCTGTTACTCGGAGTACATCAGTGAGGATAACATAGAAACTTATGTCGTTACACATTACGATATTTTGTCAAACTCGTTCAAGAAACCGACTGGTCCTTCCTGGCCGAGAAGCCGCCCGATGTTGTTTGGCTGTTGCTTGTCATCCAATCCACCGAACTAGTGGCAAATGCTTCAGAAAATAAGGTCTTTTTCCCAAAGAAATGAACTCGTTCCTGAGGAGCCGTACTAGAAACTGCATGACCTGAAGGGATTCAGTCTGGCGCGCTTACAAAGTCTGTCCAAGTAACCTGACCTGGAATGCTTACACAACGCAACGAAACCACTGCGTCAAGTTGCTCCGCGAAGACAAACTTCAGCACCAACAGAACTTAGCGGCGAAATTCAGTACAAATCCCAACTTGCTGTATAGACACATCAACAAGCTCCGAAGAGTGCAGCGTGGAATCCCAGTTTTACGTGCAACAGATGCTCTTGCGTACACTACAAAAGATGCAGCCAACTTGCTTCGCCAACACTTCATCCACATTTTCCAGAGTGAATCATCACTTCACCCGCTTTTGAAACAGCTCCCATCGCCACCAGGATTCAACCATAAATCGTTCACAGCAGCCAATGTGATGAAAAGACTAATGTCATTGCGCGTGCGCAGCTCACCTGGCTTGGACGACATCAAAGCAAAGGCCTTGAAGACAGCGGCCATTGACCTTGCAGAACCATTAACTCGGTTCTTTCAACGTTCTGTCGACGAAATGCAGGTTCCCACAATGTGGAAACATGGATTAATCACTCCTATTTACAAAACTGGTAATTCTGCGGAGCCCTCAAACTACAGTCCAGTCACTCTCCTCGCAGTTTTATCCAAAGTAATGGAACGCATGACCGCAGAGGCGCTCATGGTATACCTTGAGAGCAACAACATTCTAGTGTCAGCGCAGCACGGATTCCGCCGAAATCGGTCTTACACCACAAACTTACTTCTAGTCTGAGCAAGCTGGACAGAGTTAGCCGAGGCCAGAGCGAGAGTCGATGTAGTCTACCTGGACTTCTCTTAAGCGTTCGATCGTTTGGACCACCGCATTCTCCTGCACATGCTACGAAGTTATGGAATCTGTGACCCTGTGCTCGGTTGCATCGGAAACTTCTTCACTCAACGTCAGCTGAATGTGAGTTCCCAGCTCAATTTCCGATTCAATTGACGTCCAGCGCGGCGTGTCCCAAGGATCAGTACTGAGGCCACATTTATTCCTACTATTCATTAACGATCTTTCTAGTGTACTGCAGTCCAATTTCTTACTAGTTGCAGTTGATGTCAAAATTTGACATGACATCAGGACAGCGGATGCTCATATGGCATTGCAGAGCACTCTCGAGAGGATTATACGTATTATTGTATTATATTATACGTTAGCTAGAGCTGAGAAAAACAGCTATTAGGCCGCAACAAATAAAAGATAAAAAGAAAAAATGCAACAGGCGCAAGCCAGCTGAGTTAGCGGTAACCGATGGGCATCGTTCCGGTAAGCTACCAGCCAGCTACTATGCAACAACACAAAATTACTATGCAAAATTATATAAGGCTAAATAGTGAGATCGTGGTTGCAGGGGGAGGCTAAGACGGATGGGGTGGGACAAAGAAACTCACAGCACGAACGCCACTGAGGTCGGCTCCTAGCCATATCAACAAGTGTATCCAGCCAAACATGTTCATCGTCTTTCGGAGCCCAACCAGAAATCTGAGACGCTCTAACTGAGGCCAGCTTCGAAGTGAGGACCTTCATTCCTCTCGACCAAGTCATCGCTTGGCCACCCCTCCTCTTTTTCCATCCACACCCCCGGCGCTCATACAACGCATTTCGCTGGAGTCGGTGCGCTAGCATGCGTAACATGTGGCCGAGCCATCGGAGCCTGGTGCGTGAAATCACGGCGCTAAGTGGATCACTTCCTTTTCCTGTGCCGTAAACAAGACGTCGAACACGCTTGTCCATTGGTCGAACACGCTTGTCATATACTCGGTGTCCCACCAGATGTCAGCTAAATTACGAAGGCACCGGTGGTCGAATGTAACTAGCCTCTCTATGTCTGTTAATCTGAGGGGCCAGGTTTCATACCGTACAGTAGGGTCGAACGTACCGCTGCATTGTACGCTCTACCCTTCAGGGCAACAGCGATGCCGCGCCGGCGCCATAAGTGGCGAAGGTTAGCAAAAGCGCCTCTAGCTTTTGCTATACGGTTCGTGGTCTCGTCTTCGATTCCACTGGAGCTGATACAACTTCCCAGGTAGTCGAATTTGTGAACGACTTCTAGCTGATCCCCACCATGGATCATCGCAGGCTGCGGTCCAGGCCAATCCTGGAGGAACGCTTTACACTTCGAGGGTGCGAAGCAAAGCCCGAAGTGACGGACAGCTATTGCTAACCTGTCCAGTGCTGCTTGGCAGGTATGTGAGCTGTCACAGATTAGGGCAATATCGTCAGCGTGCTCCAACTCAAGAAGCCATTCTCCTGTGAGCAGATCCACATCTAAGTCGTGTACAGTGAACGCGATTCCCATGACTTCATCAACAGCGAAGTTGAAGAGGAAAGGTGACAGTGGGCGTGCTTGTCTCACACCGCTGGAGATATTAAAGGGCGACGACAGCTTGTCGTAAGCCCTCACTCTGCCTGAGCTACGCGCATATAATGCTCGGATAATATTTACACATTTCTCAGGTACACCCTTGCTGAGTAGACAGTCCCAAAGTGCACGTCTATTCACCGAGTCGAATGCACCTTTGATATCGAGGAACACTATAACGATGGGCCGCCAATATGTGTGACGGTTCTCTAACAACTGACGCAAAGTGAAGATGTGGTCAATGTAGCCATGACCTCGTCGAAACCCGACCTGCTCTTCACGAATATAGCTTTCACGAGTGCCATTCACTCTGTGAAAGATGACAAAGGCAAACAATTTGAACGCGATGAAGATCAGACTGATTCATTTATGGTTTCCGCATTCTGCTCGTGAGCCTCCCTTGAAAATTGAAACCATGACGGAGCGGCTTTAGTCGGTTGGGACAGTTTCCTGCTCCCACAGTTTCACTAGCAACTCATATAAATCATCCACAAGAGCAGGTCTCCGGAATTTGAAGAGGGCTGGTGATGAATCATCTGGTTCCGCGGCTTTATTCAACTTCAACAGTCCGAGCTCACGTTCGACTTCTGAGCGAGAGGGTGCATCCAAAGGCACAGCCCAGGGAGCAGAGCGATCAGTGGCCGGTGAGAAATCTAACAATTCCAGCAGAGCAAATCGTCTCTCAAAGTGCTCAGCCCAAGGCTCCAAGCGTTTTGACAAGTTGTGTATAGGCTGTCCACTCTCGTCACGTATAGTTTCACTAACACCAGGTCTCCTGTTGCCCATTTCCCGTATCATCCTGAATAACTTACAATGGTTGTCAAGGGCAGTAATTATTACCATCCCTGCACGATGGGACCACCAGGATTCGCGATCTCTCTTCCGGCTAGCACGGAGTTTTGCCCGGAGCTCTTTGCGAGTTTCATTGTGTTCGCTTCCGGCCGGGATATGCCGGCGAGCATCTATAAGTTCCCTAGACTGTGAAGAGACCCAATGGCCATGTTGGCGATTAGACATACCACATGAGGATTTGCCTGCTGCTAGTAAGGTCTGGCGAACATGTGATCAGTGACCATCAATTGTCTGCAGTGAGCGCTTACTCAACTCGCGTGTCAGCGTATTTCGATACACTTTCAGAACAGCTGGCTTCGCAAGTTCGCTGCTGTCAATGTGCTCACCATATATAAGTGCATGGTCGGCGTCCACACATGTTTTCCAAATCGAGCGACAATTCTGGACGCAACCTCTCCATCGGTAACTGATTGCAATGTGATCGATTTGCGTCCAAGACTGTTTCGAGGCTGGTGAGCGTCAATTCACCCTCCGGCGGGTGCTGTGTCGGAAATTAGTGCTCGCAAGAAATAATCGAGCATCTTCACACAAATGAAGTAACCACTCACCGTTGTCATTACGGGAGCCTACACCATGTTGGCCGCAGTTCATGAGTGAATAATTTCCAACTTGAGCGTTCAGATCCCCCAGCCAGCACAACAGTGTCCGTGCTTCTTCCGTGGCGAAGGAGGTCGTTCATTTGGCGACAGAAATCATCTTTTACCAAATCGTCGCTAGGGTTTGTGGACGCGAAGGCCGCGATGACGTATAGACACCCGTTAGTCCCGCGCGACTTCGAAGCTTTGAAAGACCTAGCGAAACGGGACCGCACACATCCGGCTACTGATTGGAATCCAATCAACCAGAGCAAATTCAGTTAGGGAACTAATTACATTGCCAACACCGGCTTGGCAGGTGCTCGAAGCGGCATCGTCACCGGATAGGTGCACTGAGAAAGCGCTGCTAGTGCTACCTGAAGTGGATCGCAGAGTGAGCACAGGGCTCGAGCCTTGCAGACGGGTTTCCGATAAGTAGCACGTATCGATCGAGATGGTCTCTCATGTTCGGGTAAGTGCTGCCTGTTGACCGATCTGTAGCACTGTGCGTACAGTGAGGCATGCCAATCTAAAGGAGGATCGAGGGCTCCAAATGGAAACCGATAAACTGGGCTTGGCCACTTGCTTGGACATGAGCGTCGTCATCCCGATAACCGGCTCCACTTCAACTTGTCGAAGTGCAGAGTCGTGAGCATACGCCCTTAGCTTATCTATGAATATCGGCTTGGGAGCCAGCAGTTACAATGCGCCACCCAGAAAAGCGATCTCGGGTGATCGTGCAGGACGATCTTGATTGCTCGAGACAGACTGAAAAGCCATCGAAAATAGCCAGTCAGCATGGTGGACTCTTACGGAGGGCTTTCGGAAATTTCGAATCATCAATCTTTTTGCAACGGCTGGACGCCTACGTAAATTCCCAGGCGGAATATGCGATCTAGGCATGGCGTCCCTGCCGCAAGCGCGACATCAATGCACTTGAAGCTACAAAACGTAGAACAACCAAACTCGTTAGAGAATTATAGTACTCATTAGTAGCAGGATATTAGTTGTGAACTGTTGGGATGAAAGCCTTATCGTTAGAGAATTGTTTCACCTCTCCTACCAGCGCAGACTTCAGTCCCTGAGATTGTACAGTGGTGAATATCGATGTTAGCTACGAGACCTCGTCATGGTTTACTTAATACTGGCGAATCTAATTCACCCATGCTGTAATCAGTTGCAGCTGAGCGAAAATACCAACCTGAGGCCATCAGTTTAAACTGGCTACGCACTACAGTCGGCTTGATTGTCAACGAAACGTTTTTCTTCTTCCTCCGTTTGTCCCCTGCCTGGACTTCCTTTCGACGCGCATCATCTTTGATCCTGCATTAACACTATTCAAAAACGCCTTGATGACATACTATCCAACTTGCATTATTTGATCTAGTTTGTTTCACTCGGAGGACGAAATAACGCGAATCAAGCCATGTGCATAACGGCACTCTCCGCAACGGGTCGATGAGGATACATGCAGAAGGTCCTTGTGAGTAGCACGGATGTATCTAAACTGGATTAATATGGCGCATTTGTCACATGAAGCAACACACGAGAGCGTTGCTGGTTCCTTTTCTATTTCTCACCCACTTACTGAACTATAACAGCTCTCTATACTAGTTTTGTGTGTGCCCATCCCATTCCCATTTCAACATATTGTTATGCAATAGTGCATTTAAATTGATATATGATTAAAAGGACGATTTACTTATTCGTTGATCCTTTCAAATTGGATTTCTACTCCCACCACCCTACAGGACTAGCCAAGCACACGCTATTTATCCGTGATAAATCATTGTTCCTTGTTCAGCATTGTTCGTTGTTTAGCTTTTCGACGCTGGTCCCCAGTGGCCTCGCTCGCGGCTCACTAGGGCTGCATGACTCAGGCACTCGCGACCGAATGTGCTACAACACCATACGCTCGAGGTCGATGGAGTGCACCCCATCGACACTTGTCGCTTCCCCAACTGCCGCTTCTTCTCCGCATACATGAGGGCTTTCTCTTGCACCTCGGCAACTGCCTTCGTGATCAGATCGCGCCACGCACGCCGATCAACCGCCTTTGGCTCTAAACATCCGAAATCAACATTAGGACGTGATAGGCTTACCTTGATCATGTCCTGGTAACCTAAATACGGTTTTCCAATGTGTCGCTTCCCTGCACTCAGTTGGTCATACAGAAGCTATTTCTGTATCCCCGTTGAATCCATACGCCGCACATGACCGAGGCACCTCAGGTGTCTCAGCAAAAGTATGCAGTCCACTGCATACATTCCACTTCGTCGCAGCACCTCCATGTCTGCACCTCTGTCGTACCAACCGAGGCGCAGAATCCATTGCAGACACTGTTCATGAAACCGCTCGAGATATCTCACGTCTTGCCGGTACACCGTCCACCTTTCGCTACCGTATAGGAGAACGAACAGCACCATGGATTTGTACACCATCAGCTTCGTACCGACGGTGAGCTGGTGGTTATTACACATTCGGTACTCAAGCTTCTCGAATGCCCGCCGCTCTCTTGGAGACGAGGGTACGCAGCTCACTGTGTATCCACTGGTCAGTCGAAACCGCACTCCCAAGGTAGCAGAAGCGGGAGGTGGTTTCCAACGCTTCATCTCCAATGCCGAATTGCAGCACTACTGCAGATTGCACCCCCGGTAAAGACAGAAAGTGACAGACAGTATTGCTTGTATTGATGGCAAGCCTGAATTTGGCCTCTGTCGAAGCCAGAGCACTAGTCATGTGCTGCGATTCATCCGCGCTGTGTGCAAATAACGCACAATCGTGAACGAACAGCAACATACGGATAGTTGTCTCACATACGCGGGTTCTCGCACCGAAACGACGGATGTTCAGCAACCCACGAACATCATAAGCACTAGCCGCATCAACAGCACATCATTGCATGAAGATGAATATTAAACCGGGCAGGAGCTTAGACTCAGTCCTGCTTCACACCATATACAACTGCAAAGTCCTCCGTGATGTGTCCACTCAGTCGTACCCTCGTCCGCATACCACTCTGCAAGCATTCAATTAAGCTTAGAAACTTCCTCGGACAGCCAAACTTACCCAACACCAGTCACAATGCCTCGCGGTTCACCGTATCAAATGCCTTGGTGAAATCAACAAAATGCAAGTACAACGGCTGGTGTCGTTCTCTGCGCTTCTCCTGCAACTGTCGAGCGGCAAACACCATATCTATGGTGCTACGAGCGGAACGGAATCCACATTGCTCTTCCGCCACGTTCTGTTCCACAACCAGACTGACGAGGCGGTTGAGCAGGATTCGGGTAATCACCTTGTTCACACAACTCAGCAAGTGGCTACCACGATAATTCGTGCAACATTGCTTGCTAGCTTTGCCCTTTTACAGTGGTAGCACAAGGGCATCCTTCAGCTCAGGAGGCACCTCCTCCTCAACCCACGCGCGTTGCACCAAGTGGTGCGGCACAGTCACTAACGCAGGTCCGCCGTATTTCAATACTCCAGACGGGATCCCGTCTGCCCCAGCACACTTACCGTTTCGAAGCTAAGCAAATTCTCTCTGCGTCTCATCCAGTGTCGACGTGTCCGCCAGACTCAGTTTCACATGTTGCTGCTTGAGGTCATTCAAACTAAGCCAGTCAATCTTTGAACGGTTGTTCAAGAGACAAAGTGTTTTCGCCATTTCTGCATTATGTCTGCAGTCTGTGTGCAGGTAGCGCCTGAGCTACCGTCGATTAGCGTCCTCAGTAGATGCAACCTCGGTCCATACATTGCCCCCAAGGAGTTAAAGAATTCCTTTTGTTAGAGGCGTTCAACGGAGCATTCCATCTGCGTCAGCTTCTCCGCTCACCATGTATTTTTAATGCGACGGGTCAGTCGCCGTCGAATTTTGCGTAACTTACGCTTCTTCCCAAAGTTGCTGGGGTCTGTCACACGTGCAGCATATGCTGCATTCTACTCCGACACCAATGAGCCAGTCGCATTGCTGTCGTCAAACGAATCGGGCCGCTTGCAGTTTGCACGCGCCATGGTCTCTTCAACAGCAGTTGTCACCTGGTCCTAAATGTGGTGCCACAGGTCGCCCACTGTGGCTATGCATTCCACATCACACACGCGTGCAGCCATCGCCTTCTCCAGCTCAGTAGGTTTCTCCAGTACCGAGGGAATGTTAAATTTACCCCGATTCACGACAGGAGTTCAATACGTAGATTTACCAAAATATATGTACAGTTCGGACCGTACCAATTTTTGATCAGTGCCACACTCAGCTCCACGTAGTACACGTTTCATGCGCATGTCACGCATGTCACGCT